GACCATACACCCATCTTCAAAATGTGTACCTTAAAACGCAAAAGTTTAAAAGTTCTTTTTTAGAAAAAAATCAGACATGAAACAGCCAGCAACAGCTTTTATTGTTTTGTTGTCAATAAAGTAGTACACAAGTCCTCGGACTCCAGAGCTCTGTTTTTCACTGATGAGACAAAATGGAAGAAAATAGCAAGTATATAGCAAGTCAAAAGATTAACAGTGACAATAATAGAACAGTTAAGTTTCCCCACATAGAATAGCCTACTGATCATAAATCGATAACATAATTGACAAAGAATCAGATCAATAAGGGAAATTGATAATGGCATTGGTATTAACAAATTTTTTTAGCAATATCTGTGGTTGAACTTGCCTCCATATTTAACAACAGATTTCTGGTGGCCTTGTAAGTGGGAAATTAGGGCATGGTATGGCCTTGTGGCACATCGGGCACTGAAAAGTATCCACTCCCAATTTACAGAGCTCTGGGCATGTGCCCTCCCTAAATGTTGTGATGTTGGTCTATAGGAGAATAAAATACTATTAAAAAACTCATAGGCCTACTTCCTCGCTTTATACATTTTATTCTGGAAAGAAATAAAAGGAACTGTAAACTACACTTCAATCAAACTTAATCAACACACATATCACCGAAACTATTCTTTGAATATATTTTTGTTAAAGAAAAAAAAAAAGAAAAAAAAAAACTTGATATGTTGAGTTAAATGAAAACACAAATATTCTGAGTATATTTGCCCTGTTCCCCCACTGCTTCTGTTATCATCCCTTGCTCAATCATTACTCTGACTTTCATATAGTCTAACACATGTAATAGTTGACACACTGACATTTTTAAGGTATTGAGTTGAAGAAATAGTTTATTTGAAAAAAAAGTAATTAATACTGCAGTCAGGTATTATTGGGCAGGGGCGTGGTGTGTAAGGGGCCGGGGGCGTGGTGTGTAGGTGAATGGTGCGTAAGGGCGTGGTATGTAAGGGGCGTGGTTTGCTGCGGCTTCGGGGACAGCACCGCTGCAGTCAGGTATTATTGGGCGGGGGCACGGTGTGTAAGGGGTCAGGGGGCGTGGTGTGTAGGTGCCTGGTTCGTAGGGGCGTGATATGTAGGGGGCGTGGTTTGCTGCGGCTTCGGGGACAGCATCTGCTGCAGTCAGGTGTTATTGGTCGGGGGCATGGTGTGTAAGGGGCCGGGGTCGTGGTGTGTAGGTGCCTGGTATGTAGGGGGCGTGGTGTGTAGGTGCCTGGTTTGTAGGGGCGTGGTATGTAGGGGGCGTGGTTTGCTGCAGCTTCGGGGACAGCACCTGCTGCAGTCAGGTGTTATTGGTCGGGGTCATGGTGTGTAAGGGGTCAGGGGCGTGTTGAGTAGGGGGCGTGGTGTGTAGGGGGCGTGGTTTGCTGCGGCTTCGGGGACAGCACCGC